TAAACAAAACAATTATCAGGCAAGAATTTTGTGTCTAGCAAAACTAAGCTTCATAAACAAAGGAAAGATACCGTCTTTTCCAGACAAACAAATGCTGAGAGAATTCACTACTACCAAGCCAGCGCTGCAAGAGCTGCTAAAAGGAGCTCTAAATCTTGAAACAAATCCTCAAAATACACCAAAACAAACCCTCCTTAAAGCATAAATCACAGGATCTATATAACAATAACACAATGTTTAAAAAAAAAAAAGAGAGACTCAGGCAACAAATAGCAAGATTAATAGAATGGTACCTCACATCTCAATACTAACATTGAATGTAAATGATCTAAATGCTCCACTTAAAAGATACAAAATTGCAAAATGAATAAGAATTCATCAACCAAGTTTCTGCTGTCTTCAGGAGACTCACTTAACACATACAAACTCACATAAAAAGGTAAAGGGGTGGAAAAGATATTCCATGCAAATGGACACCAAAAGCAAGCAGGAGTAGCTATTCTTATATCAGACAAAACAAATTTTAAAGCAACAGCAATTAAAAAAGACAAAGAGCCGGGTGTGGTGGCTCATGCCTGTAATCCCAGCCCTTTGAGAGGCCAAGGCAGGTGGATCACCTGAGGTCAGGTGAAACCCAGTTTCTACTAAAAATACAAAAATTAGCCAGGTGTGGTGGCAGGTGCCTGTAATCTCAGCTACTCAGGAAGCTGAGGCACAAGAATTGCTTGAACCCCGGAGGAGGAGGTTGCAGTAAGCTGAGATCACGTGGTTGCACTCCAGCCTTAGCTTCAGAAAGTAGGAAACACTTAAGGAGCTACTTAACCCAAGGTATCTTTTCTATAGATTTCAGGGGGTTCATAAACATCTTGAAGTAGTATCTGCAATGTTTTATGAATATTTGGTTTCTGGGAGAGCTTATAGCTTTCACAGATTTCTCATTAAAGTGCTCAAGAAAATAAAGAGATTATTATTAAAGAGCTCAAGAAAATAAAGAGATTATCTAATTTACTCAAAACGATTTTTTTTTTTAAAGTGGCTGGTTTTTAATACCTGACAAACCTGTATAAGCATCAGATAAAAGGGTTCAAGGCAGTGGTGTGCTGTTAAAGGTTTAGGAGCTGGCTATTCAGCAAAAAGAAGTCCTAACATAGAGCATTTACTGATTTCTGTGATGTACATACTCCACCATGACCAGTTTCAAGCTACAGATGAGACATTGACTAATACAAAATTCCTGAAGATATTAACGATCAGCTTCTAGAAGCCTGTAGGAGTCAACTCCAGCAAGACCTCTGATTGAAGGTGAATTGGTCTTTCTCAGGTCTGCAGAAAACTTAAATTAGGGCAATTCGTTAATGAAATTGGTCGAGCCTAATTTTGTGTACATTTTCTGCTTAAATTTTGTAAATATTTCTCTAAATGTAATATATTTAAGAAGCAATTTTGAAGTGTTTAGCAAGTTTAAAAATCAGAATCAATGAATACAGCGAAAGCTTTTTCTAACTTTTTGATAAGAGGATTATTTACATAGAGAAATTAATCGAATGGAAGATAGTGTAAAAGTTCTGAGGAAGAAATCAACTCCCTTCTAGAACAGTGGTTCTCAAAATACAGATCTCAGGGCAGCAGCAGCAGCATCACCTGAAAACTTGTTAGAAATTAAATTCACAAGCTCCCACCCCAGATCTGAATCAGAAACTCTGAGAATGATATCCAGCTATCTGTGTTTTAACAAATTCTCCCACAGATGCCAATGCGCACTAAAGTCTGAGCACCATTTCTCTAAAACAATGGTTCTTAAATTTTAGTGTGTCCAAGTGTCCCTGAAGGAATTTGTTAAAATGCAGATTTCTGGTCCCAGTGCACACCTGCTGAATCAGAATCTCTCGGGATGAGGTTCAGGAACAGCACTGTGTTTTATTTTATGTAATTTTGCTCTATTTTATTTCTTGTATAAGCTATAGTTTGCAACACAGAGTCATCGAGAAGAAAAAAGAAACTTCTTATAAAAATTTTTAAATATTCACAGAAGTAGAATAAGGAGTATAATAAATCCTTATGAGATCAGCACTCATCTTAAGAAAATGTCAGCATTTTGCCTCTTATTAATGTTCCCCATTTCATTTTTCAGTCTGTTTTCTACATGATTTTTTTTTTTTTTTTGGAGATGGAGTCTCACTCTATCACCCAGGCTGGAGTACAGTGGCACAATCTTGGCTCACTGCAACCTCCGCCTCCTGGTTTCAAGCAATTCCCTGACTCAGCCTCTGGAGTAGCTGGGATAAAATGCACCCAGCACCATGCCTGGCTAATTTTTGTATTTTTGGTAGAGACAGGTTTCACCATCTTGGCCAGGCTGGTCTTGAACTCCTGACCTCATGATCCACCTGCCTCAGCCTCCCAAAGTGCTGGGATTACAAGTGTGAGCCACCACGCCCAGCCTCTACAGGAATATTTTAAGGTAAAGACATCCTAATATCTAATCAAACATTATTTTAGTATTATCTCTAACAGATAAGAGTCTTTTCTATTGCCAAGTCAATATTATAGTGTCTTAGTACATTTTATATTGCTAAAAGGAATACCTGAGGCTGGGTGATTTATAAAGAAAAGAGTTATAATAAGCTCATTCCACAGCCATATAAGAAGCATGGTGTTGACATCTTGCTCAGCTTATGGTGAGGACTTTTATGCTGAGTCAAAACATGGCAGAGGTCAAAGGGTAAGCAGCCATGTGTGAAGAGGGACCAAGCCCAAGGGGCATTCTGGCTTTATAACAACCCGCTTTCTAAGGAGCCACTCTAGTCTCTAGAGAGTGAGAACTCACTCATTACCAAGAGAAAGGCACTAAGCCATTCATGAGGGAACCATCCCTGTGACCCAAACACTTCTCACTCACTAGGCCCCACCTTCCAGAATTGCCACACTGGGAATGAAATTTCAATATGAGATTTGGTGCAGAAAAACAAATCATGTTCAAATCCTAACATGCAATGTATAGAATTAATAACAATTTCCTAATATCTTTATCACAGACATGCAAAAATGTGTCTTTTGTAGTTGATTCATGTACTGCATTTGTTGGCTATCCTTTTAAGCCTTTTTTATTCTGTAATAGTTTCTCCTTTCCCACCATCCCCCCCCTCCCCCAGCCTTTTTTTGTGAGATGGAGTTTCACTCTTGTTGCCCATGTGCAATCTCAGCTCACTGCAACTTCCACCTCACAGGTTCAAGCAATTCTCCTGCCTCAGCCTCCCAAGTAGCTGGGATTACAGGCATGTGCCACCATGCCCAGCTAATTTTGTATTTTTATACAGGGTTTTACCATGTTGGTCAGGCTGGTCTCAGAACTCCTGGCCTCAAGTCATCCACCCGCCTCAGCCTCCCAAAGTGCTGGGATTACAGGCCTGAGCCTCCTTGCCCGGCCCCACCTCACTTCTTAATGCTAGTTATTTGTTGGAAAAACCAGATCATGTGTCCTTTATAATTTTCCACACTTTGGACTTGGCAGAATATATCCTCATGATTTGTTTAGAGTAGCCTTTTAGATTGATCCAGAAACTTGTTCTGCTTCAGGTTTACTTCTTTTGGTAAGAATACTTCATAGGTGGCACTCTGTACATTCCACCATATTCTGTCAGGAGGCACACAATGTTAAGTTGTAATATTTTTGGTGATGTTAAATTGATGAGTGGGTACAGCTATAATCATACTAATCCATTTACTATGAAATTGCAAATTACATTGTACATTTTCTGCCCCAGACTAGGGCAGGGATCTCTGCCTCCTTTGAGTGGAGACTGGACTCAGAGACTGGACTCATTCCTCCTAGGCTTTTCCAATGGATGGAGTTTGGATAGACTTTCTTTTAGTTTATACAGATATTTGCAATTCAAATTTAATATCACCAATTATTTACTTGACATTTATGTTGATGATATGAATTTCAAACCAACACTATCAATATTATCACAAACAAAAAGACTACTGAATATGTTAAGATTTTTATCCCATAAGAAGTGTACAGTCAAATATACTATGTTTTTTGTTTTTGTTTTTGTTTTTGTTTTTAAGATGGGGTTTCACCATGTTGGTCAGGCTGTTCTTGAACTCCCAACCTCAGATGATCCGCCCACCTTGGCCTCCAAAGTGCTTGGATTACAGGCGTGAGCCACCACGCCCAGCCCAAATATACTATGTTTTAAGAATACTTGAAAGGTGTCTTTTCTCTGTGTGGCTATGCTACAACTTGACACATTGGTATAGCCCCTTTTTCTCTCATATAAAAGGCAGCATACATTGTCCTATACCTGGCTTCTTCACTTAACACTTTGTCCTAGAAAGCTCATCATAGCAGTATCTAGAAATCCTTTTCATTTCTTTTTACAACTGCAGAAGTACTACATAGACATACCATAGTTTATTCAATTAGTCCCTTATTAATAGATATTTGGCTTATTTCCATGTTTTTTTGTGTTTTTTTTTTTAAGACAGAGTTTCACTCTTGTTGCCCAGGCTGGAGTACAATAGTGCAATCTTGGCTCACCTGCCTCCCACATTCAAGCAATTCTCCTGCCTCAGCCTTCTGAGTAGCTGGGATTACAGGCATGAGCCACTCTACCTGGCTGATTTTGTATTTTTAGTAGAGACGGGATTTTCCCATGTTGGTCAGGCTGGTCTCAAATTTCTGACTTTAGGTGATGTGCCTACCTGGCCTCCCAAAGTGCTGGGATTATAGGTGTGAGCCACTGTGCCTGGCCTTATTTCCAGGTTTTTGCTAAACAAATTATTCCAGAATAAATAGCCTTGCATATAAGCCATTTTGTAGTTTTGCTCACGTATCTGTGGAAATTACCATATTCCAAGAAGAGGGATCGCTGAGTCAAAAATTAAATATATATGTAATTTTAATAGATAAGTACTGCCAAACACCCCCCAAAATGTACCATTATGAATTCCCAAAGACAATGCATGAGAATTCCACACAGCCTACCAACACATATGTTGTCAAACATCTTTATTTTTTTCCCATCTGGTAAGTGAGTGATGGTTCCTCAGTGTAGTTTTAGTTACACGTCTCTTTTTGCAAACAAGAGGATAAGGGCCAAGTGTACTTTTACATTATATGTTCTGTGAATTGTCTGTTTTTATCTCTAGCCCCGTTTTTTGCAGAGACGGGGTCTTTCTCTGTCATCTACGCAGGTCTCCAGTTTCTGGGCTCAAGAGATCCTCCCAAAGTACTGGAATTACAGGCATGAGCCACCGTGCACAGCCTTAGCCCATTTTCTCTATAGTTTTTTTCCAGAAGGCAGGGGGTAGAATTTTTTGTAATGTGATTAAATTTATCAAACTTTTTTGATGATACATGCATTTTTCATTATAAACATTTTTCTCACTCAGAATATAGAGAAAATCACTCATAATTTCTTTTTGTCCTGAAAAAATTCTTATGCACGCCAAAGTGCCAGTTTATAATACAAGTTTGTAAAGTGATGTCAAATATTGCATTATGTAACATGAGACATTTAATAATCAGTCATGTTCATGGCCTCTTAACTCTTCCAAATGATGTCAGTCTGCTATCTTCTTGCCTGAATGACAAAACATTCCATTAGTAAAATAGAAAAGATTGTTTCTGGAATAATTTGTACTATAAATAAACACTCAATTATCAAAACCTTTACCTTTCTAGGAGAAGACAACATAAATCATTATGATGCAGCCCACAATCCAGCCTATCAGAAGAAGAATAGGAACCAGAAGGTGTGAAAATGTAGACTCTGCTTTAAAATAAGAGAAAACAGGTTAAGTTGGCCACTTTGGAATTAAATTTTCTGAGTCAAGAGAATAAAAGGAATCTGGTAATGTCAAGAAAAAAGTATACACTCCCTAGTCATACTCATACATAAATATTTTTTCTTTCCTACAGAGAATATGTATGACTGTCATAAACCCTGGGTATTCTAAATCAAACCATGGGTCTTCTACTGTTTTGTGACCTTGGACGATTCTGACCTTGAACTGGGAAAATATCGATAATAAAACTTGTGCTATCTGCCTCCTGGAATAGTTTTGAAGGTCGAATGACGTAACATATGTGCAAAGTTTGTAAACTCTAACCCCCATGTGTGTTTAATGTATACAGAACACATTCATACATTTGTGCAATAACACATAGAGCAGCTATTTATAGAAAAAACAATCTAATACAACTCTGAGACATTCCCACTAAAGTAAATAATTATAACACAAGAAAAGGTGTTGAGAACTGTTCTTGGCCTCAATAGCTGGATGTAATTTTAAATATCACAGGGAAAGGAAAGCTTCATACATTATATAACCATTCTTGACTACAGAAAAGAATTTCTATTTTTAAAAATTGTTAATATAACAACCAGCACTGAACCTGAATCAATGGGCAGTAATAATCCAACACACACATAAATGGCTTTGATTATATATGATTCCTCCCGTCCCTCCTATTTATACTCTTACCTATAAAAAGCAGTTTATACAAGTATCTCTTTAAGTATTCACTGCATTTCAATCTTGTTCTTTCAAGCAAACACACACACGCACACACACAGAAATCCACACATACGTCACACAAAAAGATTTAGAAAGAGCACAGAAAAACATTCCATAGAATTAATGTCCCTGTTAAGGACTCAGATACATTCTTTTTTTTTTTTTTTTTTTTTTTTTTTTGAGACACACAGTCTCACTCTGTCACCAGGTGCCAGGCTGGAGTGCAGTGCCACAATCTTGGCTCACTGCAACCTCTGCCTCCTGGGTTCAAGCAATTCTGCCCCCTCAGCCTCCCGAGTAGCTGGGACTACAGGCGCACACCACCACGACCAGCTAATTTTTGTATTTTTTAGTAGAGATGGGGTTTCACCATGTTGGCCAGGATGGTCTGGATCTCTTGACCTCCTGATCCACCCACCTCGGCCTCTCAAAGTGCTGGGATTACAGGCGTAAGCCACCATGCCCGGCCCTCAGATACATTCTTAATTGCAAAACACAATTAGAGCTTATGCCATTGGTTAACAAAGAGAATGTATATTCTTAGCAATTGTACTCCTGTTACAATTTCCATCACTTTAAAATGTGAAAGCTTAAAAAATGCTATTAAAATAAAATCTTCAGAAGATGAGACACTTTTAAAATTAGAAGAAACTCTTATAAAAGCAAACTTTCTGAAGTGGAACTGAATTTTAATAGTTTAAATCTATTTTTCCAAAAATGCTAGAGTCTCTCTTAACTGACAAAACTCAACATGCTCTTCTTGCTTCTCCATCTCGCTGTGACCTTGCATAAGGCATTAAGCACTAAATGGAAAACACTTCTCTTTACTTGACATGTGGTTTGCTTAAGGATAAAGCAAACAACATGAGATGCCCTTTACTCTCATTTGGACGAAAGCCTTTTTATGAATTAAGGTACCACTACAATGAACTACATAGCAGTAATTTTTTTGAAAGTCCACGTATGCGGCTTTGTGCTTTTCTCAAAGAACTTGAAAATTAATATTAATTGTGCATTTATATTGTGCATTTATATTTTATGAATGCATATTTAATAAAATTTAACATAAGGATATCTTAATAAAATTTACATATCACAAAACCCTAAAAGTAAATATCTCATTATTTACTTTCCTTGTAAAACAGTACCAGTAGCATTGACTGGAAATTTTAACACTCCATGTATATATTCCATTAGTGTTTTTTTAACTAATATTTTCAACTTTACTAACACCTGTAGAATTGTTTGAAAATTGGAATACGTAAGAGCACAACATACTTTGCATATGTCACTTATATTACTAGTAGAAATAATAAGAAAACATCTCTTTAAACAAGAAGTGCAATTGCAAAATGCTTCTCTCTTGTCCAGTTCTGAGCACATCAAAGTAGTTATAGCTGGAAGTGTTCTTGAGGACACTGTGCTCCAGAAAAGACTGTCCAGGTTAAACACCTGGTGCCACCACTCTTTAGTGATCATGGATAAGTTACTAAACTGCTATGTCTCAGTTTTCTTATCTATAAAATGGGGATGATGATGCTATGCATATTTCACAAGTTCATTGTCAAGATTAAAAGCAAAAATTCCTGTAAATATTTTAAAACTATTTAATAGATAAAATATATATTCAACCTATTTTGACAAATTAGAATCAATTATTTTATATAATTATACAACATAAATACAAAAAAGTGTTTAAAAAACAGAAAAAGTTAGATGTGGAACAGATGACTCAGCCCAATATTCTCATTCTACTGTCAGAAAACAGACTCAGAGAGATAGAGAGACTTCTCCAAACTCACATAGCCATTTGCTAGCAGATCTGACACAGAACTTAACTGTCTTCAATTCTGGTTCAGAATTGAAATCAGAACTGACTTCTAACTCACCTTTCAAAATAAGCATAAACAAAATTAAGCTGTTTTGCTTTGTTGAGCATTTTTAAATTATGCATAACCTATAGGTCTGATCCATAAATTGTATATTTAATGCATTTTTTGCATATAATATACATGTAGTATTATACATGGTTAATCGTCGTTTAGAATAGATACCACATTTTTTAGAATGACTGGGAAACACCAAGAGACATAAATAAACCAAAGTCAATAAGCCTTTTTTGCCAGGAGAATCCAGTGCCTTAAATCTTACCTTTTTCAGCCATTATTCTTGTTGGTGAGTGGCTTGCTCAGGCCTCACTTACCTCTTTGTTTTTGTTATCCAGCGTCTCTTTGAACTTTAAATAGAGGGAAATCTGAAGAGTGTGGCAGCTGCCCGTCTCCTGGCTGCCAATTGTCTGCAGAGTGATGTAAGTCATTGGAAAGAAGAACACCTCTGGCTCTTCCTTATCCTGTTATTATGGAGAAAACAAGGGGCTACGTGACCCAAGCAATTAGGTAAGCTGAATTATCCTAATGCAGAGATTCACAGGTTTTTAATTTGCACAGTGCCTTCAGATAATGTGAAGAAAATGTTCTGTAAAGGGGGTGTGCAGAGAAAAAACAAACTTCCACCTAGACGAGTGCTATCAGGGAGAAGGGTGATACATAGAAATAAATGATTTTGATGTTGGAGAGACTTAGGTTCAAATTCCAGCTTTTTCTGTAATGAAAGCCAAGTTCCTTAACCTGAGAATCAGCTTCTTTAATTTTAAAATGAGGATAATAATACCTACCCATGGGACTTGCATAAAGTTGAAATGAAAGTCTGTATGAAATCTAGACAGTTCTTTATCACATTACAGATGGAAATGTTAAATGAAATAGTGCCCCTTTCTTTGAACTATTCTAAAATCAAAAAATGTTAATATAAATGTACTAGAAACTAAAACAATACAGAAGTTGTGGCATTGCCTAGAATTTTTAGAAAGCAGTCGTAAGCTTGTTGTTTTTATTAGCAATGTATAAATATGTATAGGATATTTCATTTTTCAAAGTCCAAACTGGTTTATGCAACTGACCTAGATTATTCTCTATATTCCTATTGGAATAACTTTAATTTGTGACTCTGGATGGAAAAGTTTTACAGAGTGACCCTGTGGCCATCTCCCAAAAAACCTGACCATCTCCCAAAAAAATCTGACAAAAAATTTGATCAGGTCTTGCCTGATCAAATTTCTCTCCACAGAGTTTTAAGAGTGATATTTCCCTGCATATGACCATATTCCATCACTTCTCAAAATCCACTGTTGATTCTTCATCTCCTAGACAATAAAAATCTGAACTCCTTGTTTAGACACCTAGAAAGCCTTATTTCTCTGCTCTTCCATTTGCAGTGATAACTTCAGTGACCCTGAACTCAAATGCTGTTCTTCAGTGACCCTGAAAGAACAGCATTCTTTGAATTCAGAATCCTCCTACTCCCACAGGCAAGAACATTGACTTCCTACCTCAAATAATGTACCTATAGATTAGAATGTGCAGCCAAAACTCTGGCACATTTATTATCATTTATGCCAAGTTGTCATCTCTCGCCTCAGTCTGTCTCTCAATGTATTACATAATATTGAAAAAAAATGCCTGGCTATATCAGGTAAGAAGAAGAACTAGTATTGTTTATGCAACAAAACCCCTTGCTTACCTGCTAAATTTGAGTATTTTTTCAATATTAAATAATAATACATTAAACAAAGGTTAATTGAGGGCAAAAGAGAGAGAAGAAATAAAAATGTTCATTGATCTAATTTAAATATAAAAAATTTTAATTTAATGAGTTCAAATGAACACTAATTATCTTAAGAAAAAAATGACATTCAAAACAAACAGTGTTGTACCCACAAAGAGCGAAAACATACATACCAAAATAAAATAATTTGCCTAAAACATATGAAAAGGTTTTTATATTTTAAACACTCATTTCCATTTCAATTATATTAAGCTTTCTTCTTGACATGAAATCGACTATTATTAACATTATTGCTGTCAATTTGGATTTGAGGAGGGATTAGATTATAATTCATCATTTATTTTCTTCACTTTTCTATAGAAAGAAGGGAAAAAACTAATTCAATGAATGTAAATATCTCAGACTTCAGAAAAGAATTCAATCTAGAATCTCATTTCCTTGGTTATACCATCAGTAAATTTTTTTTAAATAAATGTTTTATAATAGTTAATCAGGAAAGGAAGTTTCATTCATTAATAGACAGATTTTACTTTGAGCTCATAAACCCAAGGGTCTATATTTGACCACTTTCTAACCTTTCTCTTAGGACATACTAATTAGGTACATTTTCTACTTCTACTTTAACATGTTCTCTTAAACATTTTGCTCTCTAAACCCTTATTCTCAAGGTGACATTAGATTCTTCTGAGATATGTGAGCTAAAAAACTTGAATATTTGGTTCCTTCTTTAAAATACTTAAGAATTCTTCACTTTTTAAATATTTTTAACTACCAGTGTCTGGAATTATAGTATATAGACCAGACCATGGTAGATGGTCAATGAATCTTTACTTCATGGCTGGCTGACTGGATGGGTGGATGTAATAATAAATGCTATATAAGGTAGCTTAGTTTGCACTCTAAACAAAGGTTTACTTATGGCAATACCTAAAAGAGTAATAAGTAATTAAATGGTCTTAACTATATTCTAGTCTTATAATATGTGCATGTATAGACAATACAGTGTATTTAATTACTGGTAACATTAGAATAATCTATATATAAGAATATAAACAAATAAAAGAGAGTGACATCTGTAAAAATAGAGAAATGGGGGCCTCCAAAATATCTCTCCTACGTAAGAGCACCAAGAAAGCTGTCTAAATTTTTTGAATCAATTTTTCAGAATTCTGGAAATTAACCAAAGACTTACAGCAACTGGGGGAGCCAGCATTTCAGTAGGAACAGCAAGTTTTGTGATGTTTGAATTTAGTCTATTCTGACCCTCCTCTCTCCAGCTTTGAAGTAGCCTTGAAAATCAATATCCAATAATCTCCATGAAAACTAGCAGCCTAGCAGCCACCAGAGGAGACAGAGTAGAACAGAACTCTTTCAAAGTCTCAGTTTTAGAAGACAGTAACTATTTGACCTGTCTGGTGGTTCTCTCAAAGATCTCACCTGCAAGGCTATCTTTACTTAATCAGACTCAGAAAAAGTACCCACTCCCAGGGCATTTGTTGAAAACAATTCAAGGCAATTGTCTAACATCACAGTTCGCTAGATAACAGAGTGAACTGTAGGCTAATTAAAAAGCTTAAAAGGAGAATCTAGGGAATGAGATGTCAATAGTGGTTTGGAAAGTTTCACATATCTTTGAGAATCTAGAAGACTACATGCATATGTTCAGCCATGGGCATGACCTCATGGCTGTGGGTATGCTTAGGAGAGGCCCGAAGAGGCCCTTACCTTTCACCTCTGGCAAACTTTGAGGCTCAAAATGGAAAACAAAGGGTAAAGCAAAGGGTAAAGCAGTTGTCAACTACATGGCTGAGTGTTAAAGGCATGACTCAACATGTACAAAGAGCCCATCATCAAAGTCTGGGAGACATATTAGTTACAGGCATTTAAAGAAATATTTGCCCAATCATTAGTGGATAACAAAACTAATTGAGTGAAAACTTTAGTGGTCATATACAGCAAAGAATACAAATTGTACAAAATCAGTTCAGAAAGTCCCTAAGCAAATGAACAATAATAACAACAACAAAGACCAATGACAACAAACTCTTAGGAGGAGGAAGAATCTGATTTTAAGAGTTGACATTATTTAAAATGACCAATTTTCAACAAAAAAGTTATGAGATATGCAAAGGAACAGATAACTATGGCCCATACACAGAGGTTAAAAAAAAATCCATCAAAAGAAACTGTTTCTGTGAAAGTCTATAAATTAGACTGACTAATAAAGACTTTACATCAGGTATTTTAACTATTTTCAAATAACTTTTAAAAAAAAGCAAGAGAATGCCATCTCAGCAAAAAGAATCCAAGTAGAGAGAAAAATGAAATGAAAATTTTACTAGAAGCTCAATAGCAGATTTGAGCAGGCAGATGTAAGAATCAGTTAACCTGAAGACAGTTTGAGATTATTCAGTACAAGAAACCAAAAGAAAAAATAATAGTAAACAGAACCTTAGAGCTCTGTGAGACACCACCAAGCATATCAACATATGCTTAGAGAATATGAGAACCCTAAAAGAAGAAAAAGAGTAAGAGCAGAAAAAAATATTTGAATAAATCATGGCCAAAATCTTCCCAAATTTGTGAAAAGTGTTAACGTACATATTCAAGAAACTCAATTAATTCTAGGTAGAATAAACCCAAATTCTAGGTAGAATAAAACCAATACTTAAACACAAAATCTCTGTCAAGAACCAAAGACAGGTCGGGTGCAGTGACTCATGCCTGTAATCCTAGCACTTTGGGAGGTTGAGGCAGGTGGATCACTTGAGGTCACGGGTCAAGACCAGCCTTGCCAACATGGTGAAACCCCATGTCTACTAAAAATACAAAAATTAGCCAGGTGTGGTGTGGCACACATCTGTAATTCCGGCTACTCAGGAGGTTGAGGCACAAGAATCACTTGAACCTGGGAGGTGGACATTGCAGTGAGCCAAGTTTATGCCACTGCACTTCAGCCTGGGTGACAGAGTGAGACTCTGTCAAAAAAAAAAAAAAAAAAAAAAAAAAAGGAAGGAAGGAAGGGAGGGAGGGAGGAAGAAAATAAAAGAAAAGAAACAAACACAAAGAGAAAATCTTGAAAGCATCAAAAGAAAACTGACTCATTTGTAAGGGATACTCAACAACATTTACAGCTGATTTCTCAATAAAAGCCATGAAGCTTAGAAGTCAGTGTAATGACATTAAAAGAAAATTATTGTCAAACAAAAGTTCTATAACAAGCAAGACAATCTTCAAAAAGTAAATTAAAAATTATGACATTCCCAGATAAACCAAAACTGAGATAATTTGTTGCTAGCAAAGCTGCCCTGCAAGAAATACAAAAAGGAAAAGGAATCCTTTCAGAATTAAATAAGAGGTCACTAGACAGTAACTCAAATCCACATAAAAAAATAAAGAACAACTCTACAGGTAACTACATAGAAAAATAGGATAAATGTATTTTTTTTGTTTATAACTTTTTTTTCTTCTAACTAATTTAAAAGACAACTACAATAATTATAAATCTGTACTGGTGGCATGCAATATATAATAATGTAATTTAAATTAAAATGACAACACAAAAAAGGGAATGGAGTTCTACAGAAGCAAAGATGTTGTGAACTAAGTTGGTGTTAATCCAAATCAGATTGTAATCCCTAGTGCAACTGCTAAGAAAATAACTCCAAG